TCTGTCATCCAACCTTCACTCTTACATTTTTGAAAGATGTTTGTATTTTTTCTTTCTTTTGCTGGTATTATGTCCTAAGACAAACAAACAAACTTAGTGCAGTTATTTTCTTAGTCTGTCCATAGGGTCACATGCACATCCTTTACAATAGTCAGTCTTCCAATTCCTCAGACCTTACTGTAGTAAGCTGGGTGGGTTTATGCAAACAGTCAATAGGTTTTGTATTGGTAGACAAAATGGACACTCATTGATGGCCATCTGCTTTGTCAGAAGCGACCATAGCAAAGAACTTGATATAACTTCGAAGTAAAATGTGTCAAGATCATAGTCTTCAATAATGTAGGAATAATGGGCGTCTGTGTATCAGCATGCATTACAGACATTGAACAAAAAGCCCATTGTTACTGAGGCTGATCCTATTTCATCATGTCGAAAATCCATATGAAAGGACCTGTAGTTACTGTATATTAGAACCTCTCCTTTCAGGACTAAAAGCCACACCAGGGGTATTGAGTTAAAGCTCTGTAGAAGTGGGTACTGTAGGAATTGGGAAACCAAATGGCACACAAAGCAGTTGGTTATGGGGAACACTTAACAGCTCAGAGTACTGTGTGCAGACTGTTCACAGTGCATTGCCAAAATGGTGGATTTATACACCCACTCAGCACAATCCCATATTCTATCCTGCTCATTGTAGAATTTGTGAAGGTTTTGTTGGAAAAGTTGGACCAAAATGCAATTTCAGATTAGCACTGATTTCTGGTAGTCAATAGGCCTCTATTTAAACATGGTAAATTATAACATTGTATTATGTTACATAGGCTACATATTATGGGACAGCATTTTTTAAAAAGCCACCACAAACAGAGCTCACTCTCTTTAGGTTAGCCATGACATTCTCTGAGCTTCACTCAGTTTTCTAGTGCAACATCATTTCATTTCCAACTTCGCCCCCACAAAAATACATTAGGGCGAGAGCCAAGAAAACAGTTTGTGATTTTTTTTTTTTGGGGGGGGGGGGGGGGGGGCATGGACAGAATTATGTACAGAAGATGCAGTAAGGCATGCAGGAAGCGAATCAGATATAAACAGGTTGAAGCATTAAAAAAGGTAAATAAACAAAGACAATATACATAAACAAGGGTTCCTATGGGTGAAAGATTGTACTACTGTAGCCTACTCCATGACTCATCTGAAGCTTTTCCAGTCTATGTGGTCATTTATGGTGATGATCAAGTCTACATGTTATTCAGGTGGCTTTGAAATAACAAAGTGACACCAATAACTAAATATTCTGCACTCCAGCAGTACAGACCACTACTGACAAGTAGTGGAGTAAACTTGGTTGTTATATCATCCAGTAGCATGAAACTAACAAAGGTTTCTAATCTATATGATAATATGCCACTATTCTAGTCTGTCAGAATCTCTAGACCTATACAAGCATGTCCATGCAAAATGTCACAGTATTGTTTTTCTCGAGTTGACACATATTTTGCTGAAATGTAGGAAGGCAAATGGTTCGGGGCTTAAGTCCAGAATCATTATTATTATTTGCTTACAAGAACACAATAAAGCCTTAGGGGTAATTTTCCAAGAAAAAGCAAGTCACCTCCCATATCCTAACCTTGCCTGCCAATGTATTCTGAGAAAACAGAGCCTATTTACCGTCAGCATCTTTTACCTTAGCATTCAGAACTGTACATAAAACTTTACCTGGCTCTCCATTATGTCATCAGGACTCGAAAGCTTGTTTCATTATTTGCTGATGTCCCAATGCAAACAGTTGGTGATTTAGCACAACACTCTCTCCCCCTGCAGTCTCGATTAAGGCACTGATCCCCGCCCCTTCTTCAGAACAGAAAAACTCACCTCCCTAATGACAGTATTTAACTGGAAAACCATTTCACTTCCCCTTAGAGCCAGTAGTGGTTGCACATGCAAATCGACCAAAGGAGAAAGCAGTTATTACCTATATTACCGGTTTGGTATTCAGTCTATCTTTCCTATCTTATTTGTGACTTGCAACAAGCAGGTTTACTTATAGATGAATAGATGAATAGAGATTGAGAACAAGGAAGATAATTGGTTTCTTGTTGGGGATGTGGATAGAATAAGTCTATAGGCCTACAAACATTGCTAGTTCGACTGTACATTTGTGGATTTTCCACAATGGAAGACCTTCACAGTCCTTTATTGAAATCACAGAGCAGCTCCAGTGGCCTTTAGAGGGAAAGTCAGATACCCAACCTTTTTTTTCAAAGAAGTGTTATTCCATTCTTCTAATGACTACATACAACACTGTACAAGGTGCTAGAAAATACTTTTCTCTTGTGGCACCAAGATAGTGTATTTTACTGTACAGTACTGTTCCCGTACTCTACCAAGGCTAGGTGAAGCAGTTCTACAGTTTACATTTACCCATAGTCACACACACCCATTCACCCATCCCCCTCCCCGGCCATATTCTCCATTGCAGGTCACATTTCTCCAAAAAATACTCTTGTAAACATTTTTGTTTTCTCATTACCTAGTGCAATTATAACTCGGTGCTCCTTATTACAGAAACAGGACCATGTTAAAGCTTCCCCCAAAATAACCATAGATATTAAACACAACACAACGGGCCCAGTCTTAAAAATGGCACATATTTTAAAACATTTGAATTTGACAGAGGAAATGTGATCTTGTTTGTTCTCTCTTGTTTTGTTGTTATGAGATCCCAAGCCAATATGATAACTGCCAGCCTCTTGAATCTTGGCTTAGTGTAGGCTGTAGTCGAATGACACTGAGGACCAAATTATATTTGTTTCTAAAACCAGATCAATCTTGTTTTCACTTAATATAGAACAATAACATATAACAAACATGATGTGCTTTTGCATCATGCGATTATAAGACAACAATTCAAAGCAAGGCTTTTCAGAAGGCTGGCCGTTCAAATTATTGTCTTGGAAGTTGATTATTTAGGTTTTTGGGACCACTCCAATTCTACTGTCTCCTTACCTCATGTTTTTACCCAGGTTTTATGCTCAAGTACACGTTCATAAACTACAACATACAGTGTGGGTGTCTGATAGGCCTATCAATGTGTTACCCCAAGCAACCATTCCGGTAGGTTATTGACCAACAATTATCGTTAGAAGCTATTTAGACTCCTTCCCTACATTTGGCAAAAAGTATCAGAGCGAGAACAGACAAAATATATAAAAACAAAAGTGCAACAAAACTAGTAAATGTCGCTGTGCAACACTTCTCGTCTCCCCCCTGCCGTAGAGCAACAGTCGTCGTCAGCATGACCGAAGTCCACAAACCTCAAATCCTCCAATCGAACAGGGAGATATTGGGGCAAATTTCAGTTAGCCTACTTCTTTAGAACAGTCTAGGCAGCCCCATAAGCTCCCCATTAATCTCTTCCTATAACCTCTTCAAGTGCAAATACAATAAGCCAACAGAAATATATCATATTAGTTTCATTCAATAATTTACAAAAAACAAAATGGCGGAGGATGCAAAGAAGCTGTAGGCTGGGTGCTGTAGTCTTAGTGCTGATCCTTACGATCACGCCGTAACGTTAGTAAAACAGTGCTTTTCTCTGCATCTCACTTTGAAGTCCTCACTACTATGTAGTATGCTCATTTCAGCATGTCTCTAGTGCCCTCCACCCCAGATGAAAGCCAGGCCATACCGAGGTTACACAAACCTGGGTGAAACATAGGCCAAACACAGGTGAAATGCATGACTCCGAAGAGAAACGCATATAAAAGTATCTCCTTCCATATTAATTATATATCTTCAGGCAACTGCAGATGTTGTTTATTTTCTGTATGCAGATTCATAAGTGGCTCTGTTGTTGATGTGTTTTAGATTCTCTGTATTCGTTTTGCATGCAAGCTTTGTGTTAGTGCATGTTCGTGTCTCTGACATTTCCATTACTCAGAGTGTGTATTACTGTGTTCTATTGTAAGGGTATGCTAAGTTTGCAAGCACTGTTAAGCTGATTTGTCAGAGTCTCAGATGCACCGATACTGTACTAGAGGTTAAAATCCCAAGCTGTGTGGGAACAGTGTGTGTGTATGTACTGTATGTACGTGCGTCTATCCGTCAAAAGACACAGGCATTGCATTGACTGGCTAATCGAAGATGACGTCATCTTGTCTAAGGATGATCCATAGACAAAAAGCTCTTCATGTTTCCAGATAATTTTTTCAATTGCGTGGAAAACCACAACCCTTAAGAGACAGGAAGGGAGGTTAAACGTTTATCCTCTCTCTCACAACATCACATGCTAGTTTTTTCCCCCACATGAAATTGTTCAACTGATTTGCTGTATGTTGCGATGAGATCATATTATTTCTTCCAAGAATTTAAGAAGGAATATGGTAATTTGTATTAAATACACTGAGCCATGTTGCTCCTGTAGAGTACTGTATGGTTAGTCTCTCACACAGCCAGTGATCTGTTTCAAGGTTACTTAGGTTATTTATAGAATCCATGCTGCTTTCCTAGAAAGAGGACTATCATTTTACTGTCTTATCTGACCCACACTCCATAGATGTACAGTAACTGTTACTGTTGTGTAGCAAGTTCTACAACTATGCAGGAATGATAACACAACAGTGTTACTTTGTTCAGTTTGAACTACAATGTGGTCTTGAAGATGAATACTAAAAATTGTCTGGAGAAAATGACCTGATGTCTCAGGTCTAAAGTAAAGTTCTTCCATGTTCAAATGAGAGCTTTTTTATCCTCGCTAAGTAATTATGTTTGTTCCCCAGCAATGCCTGTGTCTGTTCAGCACAACAAATCTTGTACTCCCTGCCCTGCTAAAGAATACACTGCAGTGTGTGTGTGTTGTACAGTAAGTTCTGAGAGCATGGCTTTTTGTGCTGAGAGGTTACCTTAGGAAAGCGCGGAGGAAGAGGGGTGGAAGAGGAGAGAAAGAGCGAGCGAAAGAAAGTGTGGTGGTGGATGGATCAGAGATAGACGTCGGAGGACGTTCACTGCCCGTTCATTCTCAGGTCCTCTCCAAACTCCTCCCCTTCCTGTCCCGGGGCCATGTCACCCCGCCCCCCGGCCTCGCCTCCTGGCATCAATGTCCCCTCCAACCCCGCCTCCTCCTCCTCCTCCTCTTCTTCCTGCTCCTCCTCCCCTGCCTGGGGACCAACAATTTCTGCATCCACACCCTCCCCTCCAGCCTCCCCTGACCCTGGGCTGACCGCGTCCAACAGAGAGTGAGTCCTGAGTGGGTCCTGGCGCTCTGGGTACAGCCTCTGGTCCAGGGACAGGCTAGAGGGGGTCAGGGATTTAAAATCAGTTTCGAAGGGGAGCACCACCCCAGGTCCGGCGGCTCCAAGGGCCAGGCCCAGGCCCACGCCAGCGGCCACCCCCACACTGGCCCGGTAGACCTCCATGCTGTCAGGTAGCATGGACTTGATCTTGGGTAGCCAGCGTTTGCGGACACGCCGCGCATTGGTGCACATGTCTGCAGCAATCACGTTCATCTCGCTCTCTTTGAAGTTGGGTGCAAAGTTCTGACAGTAGACTGGAGAGAGAGAGACAGAGAGAGAAAGAGACAGAGAGATGGAGAGACAGAGAGAGAGACAGAGAGAGAGAGAGAGAGAGAGACAGAGAGAGAGAGAGAGAGAGAGAGAAAGAGAGAGAGAGAGAGAGAGAGAGAGAAAGAGAGAGAGAGAGAGAGAGAGAGAGAGAGAGAGAGAGAGAGAGAGAGAGAGAGAAAGAGAGACACAGAGAGAGAGAGAGAAAGAGACAGAAAGAGTTGGAAGACATTCACTTTTGGAAATCAGCAGCTGTTTTACCTGTGGCTCAGTCTATATGAATAGTTGATAAAAAACAGAAAAACTAATATTACACTGCGACAAATTACAGTATGTCATTTTTTAAAAATGTACTAGAACTTCCATAAATTCATAAATGCTTGTGCTTTCATAACCTAAAATGGCTAATGGCTATCGACTAGTCTGGAACATCACACGTCTTCATTCTAAATCTCATAAAACATCTACAATAGTTTGACTCTGAAACAGTAACATCATTCAACAGAGGCTGCCATACCCCTGAACCATTTTCCTCCATTCTAAACAACCAGATATTTAACAATGTAAGATCAACGTTTGATCAACGTCAGACTCACGTTTGACAGCGTTGAGCACACGGCTGTCCAGAGGTTTCCTACTGGGGTCACTGGTAGAGGAGCGGATGCCAGTTCCACAGCTGTTAGCCAGGGTGTTCCTGCAGGCACACAGAGCCAACACCAGAGGGCAGCGTGAACACCACTCCCATAGGAATACACGTTTCAAAACGACTGTACTGCACTGAAAACCGTAGGTTTATGTTGACTTGAGAAGATATATTCATACATAAACTCAGCAGAAAAAGAAATGTCTCTTTTTCAGGACCCTGTCTTTCAAAGATAATTCGTAAAAATCTTAATTGTAAAGGGTTTAAACACTGTTTCCCATGCTTGTTCAATTAACCATAAACAATTAATGAACATGCGCCTGTGGAACGGTCGTTAAGACACTAACAGATTACAGACGGTAGGCAATTAAGGTCACAGTTATGAAAACTTAGGACACTAACGAGGCCTTTCTACTGACTCTGAAAAACACCAAAAGAAAGATGCCCAGGGTTCCTGCTCATCTGCGTGAACGTGCCTTAGGCATGCTGCAAGGAGGCATGAGGACTGCAGATGTGGCCAGGGCAATAAATTGCAATGTCCATACTGTGAGACGCCTAAGACAGCCCTACAGGGAGACAGGACGGACAGCTGATCGTCCTCGCAGTGGCAGACCACGTGTAACAACACCTGCACAAGATCGGTACATCCGAACAGGTACAGGATGGCAACAACAACTGCCCGAGTTACACCAGGAACGCACAATCCCTCCATCAGTGCTCAGATTGTCCACAATAGGCTGAGAGAGGCTGGACTGAGGGCTTGTAGGCCTATTGTAAGGCAGGTCCTCACCAGACATCACCGGCAACAACGTCGCCTATTGGCACAAACCCACCGTCGCTGGACCAGACAGGACTAGAAAAAAGTGCTCTTCACTGACGAGTCACGGTTTTGTCTCACCAGGGGTGATGGTCGGATTCGCATTTATCGTCGAAGGAATGAGCGTTACACCGAGGCCTGTACTCTGGAGCGGGATCGATTTGGCGGTGGAGGGTCCGTCATGGTCTGGGGCGGACTGAGCTTGTTGTCGTTACAGGGAAGACATCTTCCTCCCTCATGTGGTACCCTTCCTGCAGGCTCATCCTGACATGACCCTCCAGCATGACAATGCCACCAGCCATACTGCTCGTTCTGTGCATGATTTCCTGCAAGACAGGAATGACAGTGTTCTGCCATGGCCAGCGAAGTGCCCGGATCTCAATCCCATTGAGCACGTCTGGGACCTGTTGGATTGGAGGGTGAGGGCTAGGGCCATTCCCCCCAGAAATGTCCGGGAACTTGCAGGTGTCTTGGTGGAAGAGCAAGAACTGGCAAATCTGGTGCAGTCCATGAGGAGGAGATGCACTGCAGTACTTTATGCAGCTGGTGGCCACACCAGATACTGACTGTTACTTTTGACTTTGACCCCCCCTTTGTTCAAGGACACATTATTCCATTGCTGTTAGTCACATGTCTGTGGAACTTGTTCAGTTTATGTCTCAGTTGTTGAATCTTGTTATGTTCATACAAATATTTACACATGTTAAGTTTGCTGAAAATAAACGCAGTTGGCAGTGAGAGGACATTTCTTTTTTTGCTGAGTTTATATACTAAACTTTGTGCAAGTAAGGGCCTTGAAAACAAGGAATCTAAATGTAAGTTGGATATGTGTATGGATTTTGAGTCTGAATACGATCATTCATGAAACAGACACTTCATCATGAAAACTATACTGGTAAAGCTAACAGCTTCTGGATCTGAGCCACACCTAAAACATGTAAATCATTTAACTATTAATCAATACCTTTTAGATTATCTTTGACTTACCTGTCGAAGAAGGTGGCGAGCAGGCGACGCAGTAGGACTTTGTGTTTGATGCCAGCACACAGGTGACAGTTCATTAGCTGGCCTCGTGTCATAAACACAGATGTTCCTTGGGTGGTGTGAGAGAGAGCTTCCTGAGTGAAATAGGTTTCCCCATCACGACTCCATTACCCCTATGTATTTCTATCGCTACTTTACAACCCAACTCTGCCAACCTCTCATTTCTTTCATTAAACATTTATGCTGTAAAAGTACTCTCACCCAGACAGTGCTATTTCACCCCATCACTTATCTTCATTTCCATCACTTATTTTATGTGACACCTCTTGAATAAATACGATTTCCATCGTATTCATTACAAATGGCAAATCAACTGGAACTTGAACATTTCATAAAGCATTTGATCTAATCTCTACCTTCTACCTCAACCCTTTTACCAAAGACCAACAGAGATCTCAGCCTTGCTACTTCAAAAAACTGGTCTCATCTAACCAGTATTCACCAATCCCCCTCTCTTTCTCCCCTCCTGCTGCCTACCTCCAACCAGCTCCAGTTTCTCCCCCGGGTCTCCTTCGGTGTAGAGCTTGGGGTGGCAGCGGTAGCCGATCTGGCTAACGAGGCTGGCGGGCAGGGCCACCAGGTCCCTACGGATCAGCACACAGGAGCGACTCTCCAGGGACAGGGGCATGGCTGCCATCTCTGGCTTTTCCTGGACTGGAGAGGTACAGGTGAGGAGAGGGAGAGGGTTAACTCTATAGTGGAGAGTTATGGATAGAACAATAAACCCTTTCTATAGAGGGGGAGGCAAAATCACCCTGGGTGAAATACAGAGAGACAAAGAGAGACAGGCAGACACACAGACTACTATCTAGTCCTTCTACACTGCTCTTACATATTTCAAAGAGAAAGCTAGATAGGATTTAACATCAGGATACACAAGGTTGAGGTGATCTCCATTAAAAGTGAGGGTGTTTAATAAATGATTCAAGGCCTATCACAGCTAAGTTCCAGATAAGCAACGTGCTGTATCAGCATCTTGAGAGACACAGGTTTCAAACTGGTTACAAACTGTGGATTAATTTCCCTCCCAAAACCTTCACATTGACCTCTAAGATTGCACACACACACACACACACACACACACACACACACACACACACACACACACACACACATACACACACATACACACACCTCCACTCCACTCCACTCCACTCTACTCTACTCTCAAATATCCCACAATGTCACCCTGGGGTGTTCTGACTGATTGTAGATAGAATGGATTTCATAAATATCTGAAACTCTAGACTTTGACAAACCTGTCCAATAGCAATGCCCTGAGCAGTGAAACATATAAACCTCTGCAGTAGGGACAGTGAGGTGTTTTAGTGTCTGTGTGTGTGTGCGTGCATGCGTGTGCATATGTGCAAGTATGCGGGCGTGTGTTTGCATAAAAGCCAATTCATGCTTGATCTGAAAATTGAGGGTGTGAAGCAATTGCGGAGGCATTCAGAGGCCAAATGAAGCTCCGTACCGCATCGCCGGTAACAATGTGGAGGGCTCTGTATAGCGTATTGACACGATTGGTTGGTGGTAGGTGGTGGCGGCAGGTCCAGTATAAACACAAACTCACTTCCTTGACAACTTCCTTCACAACAGCTCTGCTCAGCGAAGCGAAAGAAGTATAAATGCCCTGACTTTTACAGATGCCGTATTGCAGTAAATGCTGTACGGCCACTGCAGATGTCGGATTGACCATGCAGAGCCTTTTAGTCATGTAATTAATACAGTAATTATAACTTCATATAGCATTCCCACAAGTCTACATAAATAAGCCTTTTTATAGCCCACAAAAAATGAGCATAACATGACACAATGCTAATAGTGCATGATGTTCATGATTTATGTCATGAGATGCATTATATGAAATCCCATTTTATGAAGCCACATGTGACATTATATATGACACATTCATGATTTTGTAAAACAATGTATAGGACAGCCTAGAAGACTGGCATGCACAGCTATCAAATGTGGTGCGGCAGGTAGCTTAGTGGTTAAGAGCGTTGTGCCAGTAACCGAAAGGTCTCGGGTTCTAATCCCCGAGCCGACTAGGTGAAAAATCTGTCGATGTGCCCTTGAGCAAGGCACTTAACCCTAATTGCTCCTGTAAGTCGCTCTGGATAAGAGCGTCTGCTAAATTACTAAAAAGTGTTACCTGATACAAGAGTACTAACCTGATCCAGCTCACATGCAACATTCAGTAATGTTCAAATTTAAAATTGCCCCTTAAAACCTATTTTATACATGGCTGTTTTTGTGTGTATAAGGTGGATGAATTTACATAACATGCATATTCTTTGATTCTAACATTTAAAAATGAAAAATATATTGCTTCATTTTTGCATGTCTCATGAACAGTGTTGGGGGTAACGCGTTATAAAGTAACGTGTTACAGTACTCTGATTACTTTTTTGTGGTAACGAAATAACCTAACACATTTGTTTTTCAATTTAAGTAATCAGTTACTAAGTTACTTTTTCAAATAAGTAACGACTTACTTTTACAAATTATTTCCCTTTTTCTTTGTTGGCTCAAATAAAAAATGAAAATCCCTCCCCATACGCTACTGTACATTCGTCGTGCTCTTCCTGTTTCTACAAGAATGTTGAGGCGGGTAGCTGGCATAGTAGCTGGTAGCTAGATAGCTAGCGAGATGGCAGAGACAATAGCCTTTATCGTGGAATTATTCACATTACTTTGAATTGGTAGAAGAAAAGGACAGATGTTACCCCTCAAATCTTTAGTAAAGCAGGATTCACACGCAAATACAGGATCATCATGTTCAGGCGAATGCCCCATTTACTGTCAGGTAATAAAGCAAACAATGTAGCTAGGTGATCAAGTTAGGCTAAGTTGATAAGAATGGACACTTCTCCAGCTCCGTCTTCGCCATAAACATAATGGAAAGGTAACTACAATTACACAATGTGATCGTACTGTATAGTTTTACATAAAATCTCTCTGCCCAGTTCGTATCTGTGTGTAAAACAGATTGGTAGACAGTTGTCGTTGTATTTGAGCTCTCATTTTTCATGTGCCCAGTTGGTTTTATATATGTATTTACAGTACTTATGTGTAAATAATTCAACAAAATCATTTATTTTAAGTATTGTAAAGGAGATATTGTGTCTGTAATTATTACTTGGTATAGCCCAGAGTTATAGATTAGGCTACGGACAGTAGGCTATGCAAGCCATTCAAAGGTAGTGTACGCCCTTTACTGGGCATAAGAATGAATGACCAACACGTGCAAGGCATCTTCAGAGGGTTTTCTGTTTTTGGTAACGCAAAAGTAATGTAACAAGTTACTTTCCATAGTAAGTAACGTTGTAACTAGGGCTGATCAAGACCCAAAAATATATTAGTTGACCGAGAGTCGTCTGTTTTAACTTGTATTTATCCATATTTAGACACACCCTATGTGTTTTAATAAAATCAACTATATGTACTGAGCTTGCCTAATTCTTTAAGTGCACTGTTTGATGAAATAACTAAGACACAGAAATGACTCAAGAGGGAGCCAGACATCAAGATAACCAGAAGAAAAAACCTGTTCCCAACCGTCCCCATTCCGCTCTTGTTGGCCTTTGCCTTTTTCATGTGGAGGCCCAATTTACAATTTATCTTACAATTTCTACTGATCTGTGTGCCAGTTATGATTTTCATATGCACATTTTCGTGGAACAGTTTAATTTCAATTATACTAACGTATTTTAGTTATATTGCAAACTAGGTAAAAATAGCCTACATAAAGCCAACAAACAAAAACATTGCAGGTAGAAAATATCTTGATATAAATAAATATCCTATAAATCACTGGCTACACATGGAGGATTGTTCATGTTCTCTAATCGCATTCATCTCTCTACTCTGCCTGCCTACAATTAACTTGAAACATTGTATCAACTATCAACTGGGTATGGCCTGCAACTCGCGCTAGCAAACTTAAATTACTCCAGGGCCTCAGAGTTTCCTGTGCCAGTGCGCTCCAGACAGACACAGCTCTATTTGCGCAAGGGATAAGAAGTAATCCTTTTTTATGACGTTTCCACTGGATCAGAGCATGACCTTTTTCCCTTTCACACCAAGGGTCGGTGGTTATCGAAAGGGAGAGAGCTGGAAAGATTTTTCAAATACATTGAGGAACTATTGTCATTCTTAATGGATGTAAAACAGACTTTGTTGACTTGCTGTTTGAGGTGAATAAAAAAATACTTTGAGAAGCTCCACAGCTCATTAGTGGTGGTGAGTTAATACAATCAGAAATACTATCAGACATCCCCAAATGAGCACATTTATACATTTGCGCACAGACCAGGTAGCCTAGACCTACTTTTATACGTAATCAGGTGCGCGTCCTTCCTCAACAATATGACAGGAGCGCTCCAAACAAAATACAATGAATAAATTGACAACTCATAAATGGAATGAAATAAACCAAAACTTGTTTCTCACAAGTGTAGCATAGGTTTGTGAGCTCTGTAAACAACGTGTCCACGACAATGTGAATGGTAAACGACTGTAATAATAATATATTGAATGTATTAACAGAAATTGCCATAACCAAACAAACATTGTAAATGAGAAATTATGGGAATTAACGGTAAATGTACTACTGGTAGTATATGTAATGGTGAGTTGCTAGACATTAACAATCAAAGGGCAAACAATTCACACAATGAAGTTGACAATGACTGTGCACAAATTGGAGGGAGAGAGCGCATTCTGGAGAGAGACAAGCCTTGTGCATCTAAGCCACACCACCCTTCTTCTTGACTCAACATTTTAAATTATACCCAAGACACATTATTTTCACACCTACTGTAGGCCTAAGGAATACTCTCACAAACTGTGTTGGGTCCAAAGCAGTAGCCATTTATGGAAAACCAATGCAATTTCAAAACTAATGCAATTTCACTTATTTTCAAAACGTTATCAAATTTGTTCGGGCAGGTTTCGGCATTCGTCGTCACCGGCTTACTAGCTACTGCCGCTCCCATTCTTATCACTCCACTTGTCTTGTCTTGTCAATCACACACACCAGGTGCTCATCCCCTAATTAGTCTGTGTATAAGTGTTCCCTCTGCCCCCTTGTCTTTGTGAGTGATTGTTCTATGTGGGAGGAGAGTAGCTCGGTTGAGATACTCTCTCATTTATTTTGCCAGGGTTGATTTTCCCCTGTGTCATTACATTTATTGTATTTTCTGAGACTGTGTTTGGTCAGGGAGGATTGTTTCCCCTGTACCTGTTTCGATTGCCGTTGTAGGCGCATTGTACGTCTGGAAGGAATACATCTACATCTGGTTATTTTACTCCTGCGCCTGACTCCGTCCATCATTCACCACAGAATCACTCACCCGCTGATATGGAGTCAGCAGGAGAAGACCACATGCCTGGAGTCGTGGCATGGGTCCAGGAGCATTCCACAATGCTGGCCAGCTTGGGGGAAGCGATGGATCGGGTTCTTCAGGTCGTCCAACGCCTGGAGAGGAGAGGACCCGATCTGTCGAGACCAGCTGGCCAACCGGATCCAGCCACCTACACCCCAGCACCCGGAGGGATCCAGATACCCCGGCCACCGGCGTTTGATGGGACGGGAGCGCGCTGTAAAGGATTCCTTCTCCAACTGGAGCTGTATTTCTCCAGCATCAGGCCGGCGCCATTGGAGCGAGAGAAGGTATCCGTCCTCGTTTCCTGCCTCTGTGGGAGAGCCCTGGAGTGGGCCAGCGCGGTGTGGAACGAGTGGGCCCTGATCGACCATTTCCGGTGCCACCTATGGGAGGACATCCGACGGGAGATAGCCTGCCGGGATGCCATGCAATCGTTTTCCCAACTACTATCGGAGGTTTATCCGGGGCTTTGGCAAGGTCACAGCTCCCATTACCTCCTTGTTGAAAGGTGGGCTGTCCCGGCTCTGCTGGTCTGCTGAGGCTGACCTGGCCTTAAGTACTGGCCCACCCCGATCCATCACTACCGTTCGTAGTGGAGGTGAATGCGTCCGAGGTAGGGATAGGCACTGTCCTATCTCAATGCTCGGGCACGCCACCCAAGCTCCACCCCTGTGCCTTCTTTTCTAAGAAACTCAGCTCGGCGGAGCAGAACTACGGCGTTGGTGATCGGGAGCTGCTGGCTGTTGTCCGAGCTTTGACCGTGTGGAGGCATTGGCTCGAAGGGGTGAAACACCCTTTCCTCGTCTGGACAGACCACCGTAACCTGGAGTACATCCGGGCAGCAAGGAGGCTGAATCATCGCCAGGCCAGTTGGGCCCTCTTCTTCACCCGGTTTGATTTCACACTATCATACATTCCGGGTACGAAGAACGTGAAGGCAGATGCACTGTCCCAGCTGTATGACACAGAGGAGAGGCCCAGAGACAACACCCCCATACTCCCGGCCTCCTGCATCGTGGCGCCGGTAGTATGGGCGATGGACGCGGATATAGAGCAGGCATTACGCACAGATCCATCTCCACCTCATGTCCAGCTGGGCTGCGGTACGTGCCTGATCTTATCCGTGATCGTTTGATCTACTGGGCACACACGTCACCCTCCTCTGGTCACCCAGGTATCGGTCATACAGTGCGCTGCCTGACCGATAAATACTGGTGGCCTACCTTGGCTAAGGACGTGAGGGTGTACGTCTCCTCCTGCTCGGTGTGCGCCCAGAGTAAGGCACCTAGGCATCTCCCAGCGGGTAAGTTGCAACCATTACCAGTTCCACAACGACCATGGTCTCATCTAAGTATTGCTTTTCTTACTGATCTTCCCCTCTCCCAAGGTAACACCACCATCCTGGTCGTTGTGGACCGCTTTTCTAAAGCCTGCCGCCTCCTTCCTCTGCCCGGTCTCCCCACGGCCCTACAAACTGCGGAGGCCCTGTTTACTCACTTCTTCCGGCACTTCGGGGTACCAGAGGATATAGTGTCCGACTGAGGTCCCCAGTTCACGTCTAGGGTCTGGAAGGCGTTCATGGAACGTCTGGGGGTCTCGGTCAGCCTGACCTCTGGATTCCACCCTGAGATTAATGGGCATGTGGAAAGGCTTAATCAAGATGTGGGTGGGTTCCTGCGGACCTATTGCCAGGACCGGCCGGGGGAGTGGTCGGTGTTCTTGCCATGGGCAGAATATGCCCAGAACTCTCTCCGCCACTCCTCCACTAACCTAACGCCCTTCTGAAAAAACAAATAAATTGCTAGCTAGCAATGTTTTCCTTCTTTGGACCTGCGTTTACAATGTATCCAGTTTCGGTTTGTGTGGTTGTTGGTTTAGCTTTCTGTAACTTTGTAGCAATGGTCTGCGTGTGTAGGTGCATATTGCGTCATGATTGCAAGGTGTCCCAGTATCTTTTCCAACTGTCCCGATATCTTGTCCAACTGTCCCGTTATTTGGTTTTAATGTCCATTCTAGAATGCACTTCTAGCCAATCAGAAACGAGTATTCAACAATGCTGTGGTATAACATGTATTATATGTTATTTCTAACAGTAAATATTATTTCTACAGGTAAATGTGTGCTTTACCATTGTGGTATAAGCGGGAAAAACGCTTACGTTCTGTACATTACCTTGGAAAAATGAACTCCGCAAAGGGACTCGGCTCCGCCTCGTCCCGCTGCATCGTCCATTATTTTCAAGGTAATGTATAGAATGTCGGCATTTACCCCTTACATATCAAAGTGAACACTAGGGAAATAGCTGGCAGTTATAGTAATGTAATCAACATGTTACCATGTAGTTCTAAGGTAAATACCAGGTACAGGATATACAGTAACAGAGAACTGCATTATTAAGCAACAATACTTACTTCCATATGGGTTGGCTGAGCGCCCATAGATCTGACTGTAGGCCTCTTCCGTTATCCCGTCGTACGGCTCTTCCTCAAACTCCTCATCCTCATTCTGGTAGGAGGTGGGGCTGTCCGTGGTAGGCAGGCTGGAGGCCCCAGGACTGGACCTCTCTCCCCCGGCCACTGGATAGGGCTGCATCCCTGGGAAGATGGTGGTTCCCCCCGCCCCCGTGTAGAACAATGAGCTTCCCTTGGAGAGCCGCCCTCCCAGCTCAGATGAAGAGGACCCTTTCTTATGATGACTCAGGCTGGGCAACGGATCGCACCCCTCCTGTTTGATCCTCCGCGTGGGCTGCACCAGAGAGGGGGACCAGCCCGGCGGCCCCAGGATGGACGTCCCTGCCCCGGCCAGTGTGTTGTTGCTGGGGCTCTGGGGCTCTGAGCCTGGTTGCTGCTCCTCCATGGCTGCCGTCTGGGAGTCACAGTGGGGCGAGTTGGCCTTGAACATCAAGTCCATGCCCCGCTCCACAATATGCTGGATCTGAAGATACCCGGCAGTGTACATCACCACCAGCTGCTCGCTGGCTGCCATGGTCAGCTTGCCCGTGTAGCAGAAGGATAATATCAGCTGAAAGCAGGCGGGAGTCACCGACGAGGGCAGCTCGAACTGGCTCTTGGACGAGCTGCTGAACAGGTCTCGGAAGTAGAGGCTGCTGGCGGCTAGTACGGCCCGGTGGGCCTTGAAGGCCTGGCCTTTAACCAGGATGGAGACATCACAGTACTGACCCAGCAGGCGCTGCTCGTTGAGGGAGCCCAGCACCGTGTTGCCGAAGTTGGGGATCTCCAAGTGGAGCAGCTGGGACATGGTGGTGGAGGAAGAGGAGGAGGAGGAGGAAGGCTTCAGAGAGTCACCACAGACAAGGCCAGAGAAAGGGACATCTGTACAAGGAGAGAAGGAGGGATGGATTAGACAAATTGGAAAACTTGAGAAGAGAGGAGGATAGAGTATGTGAAAGACAGAGAGTAAAAAGACAGGGAGATAGATAAGTGAAAGCGATGTGTGAAAGGGAGGGTAGAGCGGGAAGGGGAGGGAGAGAGGGGGAAGTTGGAGAGAGAGCAGAAAGAGACATGTGAGAGAAGAATGTGTGAGCGAAGAGAGAGACATGGGAGAACTGCAGAAATATGGTATAAAAACATGAATTAAAGTAATATGCAAAGTAAGTATTCAAAGTAGTAGACTTCAATGATAAAAGGAACAGTCAATATAATCAGTGTAATGATATAACTGACATGTATTTTTCCAACTCAACAAGTATGCTCCCATCACTTTGACTGTATAAACTAAGCTGTAGCCAGCAAGGAAACACATGCATTATAACAGGAAAAACTTAACTTCAGAGAAAACAAATAAATGTGACTTTGATAGCTCCCTTTACAATAACACCCAGTTACAGCCAGACATGCTCCCCAGACACATTTGCATACGTTCCTTCTTTCCATGAACCTTATCTCTGTGTTTTTCTCCAGCACACACTCGCCAGTTTCATTATTGAGCAACGCAGCAGAACGGTTTCCAGGAATACAAACTGAAAATTGTCAACCCCTCTCTCCCTCCTCCATAGACACACACATAGCCCTCTCTTCTCTTCTCCTCTCTCTCGCACACACACTTAGAGGGATGCAAGCACAAACACACACGCACACACACACCTCCATCCCAGACAGCTCTGACCTGTACAACCCAGTCCTCAGGAAAGGAGAGTGGTCATACCATGAAGCTTTCACACGCCAGCACCAGAAGAGAAGAAAGGAGCCTTGCTCTCTGTCTCACTCAGAGCTCTGATCTTTTCTCTCTCCCTCTGTTTCTCTCTTTTAAAGATTTCTCCCTCGCTCTTTCTCTCTCTCTCCTTTCACTCACCCTCACTCTCTTTCTCTCTCTCTTTCTCTCTCCCTCTGTCTCTCCTAGGGCTGAATTCAACAAGTGCTGCTGCAGCTGGAGAGAGCGCATCAATGATGAAGGGAGTGGGAGGCTTTCTGTGTGTAATCAATGCAGCATCTATACTTATGTCGCAGGGAGAGAGAGCGAGAGAGAGAGAGAGAGAGAGAGAGAGAGAGAGAGAGAAAAACACAGGCTACAGTTACAGACAGAGAGAGAGACGGAGACGAGGGAGGGAGGGGGTGGTCTGAGACAGAGGGAAAGTCATCTAAGGACAGTACGAGCAAAGAAAGACAATTGCGTTTGGAACAACTTCAGCTCCTATCTGGACGTAGGCAATGGCCAAGAGAGAGAACTTCATCAAATAACTAAATAAAATGAAAGTTGAATCAGAGAAAAGGGGGAGAAGAGAGAAAAGGAGTTAATTATACTGTCGGAAATCTGAAGGTGAAAGTAGCGCAGTCATTTGCTCTGAAATCTCCCGTTTAATGCAATAGCTTATTGAGAATGTGACTCACACAAAAACAGCTCCTACCATTACCATTACTGATTCTGAATGATGGAAAAGATGGAACTTGCTAGCGTTTGTGCAAGTATTACGTTAGAGTGTCCGTTTAAAATGCTGTGACTGTCTGTTGGGGGATTTCTAACATGAGTGAGTGAGTTCTCCCAGTGAGATATCATTGAGTTCACTCTATTAGTTTGTTCAGGTAGACATCTTCCTCTGTTGTTGTCTGGTTGCATTTTTGCACAGGCACTAAGCAGGGCTCCCGGACTGCTGTTCGGGGTGGATTAGAGAAGGAAAAAGGACCCCAGACGTCATTGAGTTTGACAGAGGAAAGCCCAGGGATAGGTTAGACAGCAGCTTACAGTACAGAGAGTGTCTCTGCTAAGGACCGTGAGGGAAGCTGTGAACATAAAACAACCATGACACAGACTGACACACACATGAGAGACAGAGAGTGAGACAAGAGAGGGAGAGATAGAGAGGGAAAGAGGGAGAGTGTGGGGTGTGCGCAACATGAAGTGTATGTGTGTAAAAAGTTGGAGATTCATTCGTAATTTACTCACTGCTTAGCTATGTAAACAACACCTGCTATGTAAACAACACCAGCACACACTCTCTCTCTCTCTCTCTCTCTCTCTCTCTCTCTCTCTCCTCTTCTCTCGCTCTCTCTCTCTCTATATCCTCTCTCTCTCTCTCTCTCTCTCCTCTCCTCTCCTCTCTCTCTCTCTCTCTCTCTCTCTCTCTCTCTCTCTCTCTCTCTCAGACAAAAACCCAGTCTGCCAGATGTAATGAAAATAGAGATACCAAAACTGGCCAAACGTCTCCCTTCACCACAGGGAAAGAAAATGGAGAAGGGGAATCACACAGTCAGTTAGTGTGGTCCCACATCAGCATTCACATTCCTGCCACAGCAGTGGTGATGTCTGCATAAAACACTAAAACTCTCAGACACTTTCGGTCCCATTTAACACCTGCATACCGTCATTGACACGCGTCCCTCATACTGTCTGTCTATCTGTCTGTCTGTCTGTCAGCACGCTGAAGCCTTAGGATACCTCTCCCCCCTCACCTCCCTCCTGCTTTCTCTTTCCCCCTCCCTCTCTTCACACCACTTTCCCTCTGAGCTGCTGTCTTTCTGCCAATTAATGCACACGGGGCTGCAATGCAGTGAGTCCCGCGCGCGCCACAGCAGAGAGAAGTGAAGCATGCTGGGTATAGAGTCTACAGACATGCATGTACGTGCCAGCCTGGGCAGAGAGGGGGAGGGGGGGCCTGAAATATGTTGAGTCAGGCAGACGGGACGACACAGCACTGCGCACAGTGAGAGAGAGAGAGAGAGAGAGAGAGAGAGAGAGAGAGAGAGAGAGGAGAGAGAGAGAGAGGAGAGAGAGGAGAGGAGATGAGAGAGGAGAGAGAGAGAGGAGAGAGAGAGAGAGAGAGAGAGAGAGAGAGAGAGAGAGAGAAGGAGAGAGAGAGAGAGAGGACAGAGAGGGAGAGAGAGAGAGAGAGAGAGAGAGAGAGAGACAGAGAGAGAGAGAGAGAGAGAGAAAGAGAGAGAGCCACATGACAAGAATAACAAGATACTTCCATCAGAGAGAGTTAATGCGTCTGTGTGTGAGTGTGTTTGTGTGTGTCCCTTCACAGTCAACGTCGTTCCATGAGATGTTGTTTAATCTGTTTTTTAAAGGTAATTTTACTGTTTGCTTGAGTAATTGATGATAGAAGGGAGTTCCATGCGATCATGACTCTGTATAATAATGTGCGTTGCAGAGAATTTGTTTTGTACTTGGGGACTGTGAAGAGACCCCTGGCGGTGTAGTCCCGTGTAGCTCAGTTGGTAGAGCATGGCGCTTGCAACGCCAGGGTTGTGGGTTCGATTCCCACGGGGGGCCAGTATGAAAATGTATGCACTCACTAACTGTAAGTCGCTCTGGATAAGAGCGTCTGCTAAATGACTAAAATGTAAAAATGTGGCATGTCTTGTGGGGTATGTATGGGTGTCTGAGCTGAATGTTATTTGATTATGCAGACAATCTGGAATTTGCATCACAGTAATATTTCTCATAAAAACCAGAAAAGAAGCAGTTAATCTCTCATCAACCCTCAACCAGCTGGCACACATGTTGTTGATGTTAGTTCTGTATGTGCAGTTAAGGGCAAGGTGTCCTGCAGCTTTGCTAGGTCTTTTTTTACTGCACTTGACCATATTACCGGACAGTTATCAAGATGGGACAAGACCAGAGCCTTAACAACTTGTACAGTTGATTTTTGTGTCAAAAAACACAGAGCATATTTTTATAACAAACATACCCCTCCCCATCTTCACAACAACTTTGTCAATATGACTTGACCATGACAATTGACCATCCAATCTTATACCTAGGAGTTTAGCTTCCTCAACTTGCTCAACGGTTAACCCTTTATGCACAACTCCAGTTGAGATTCAGGTTTTAGAGAATGTTTTGAGCCAAATTCAATGCTTTTAGTTTTAGATGTTCAGAATTTAAGACCAGTTTATTTTTAATCACCCATACTCCTCACTTAGAATTTCAGTGAGCTCACTGGCTTTGGGTGCTGACATGTAGAGTGTGGAATCATCCGCACACATAGTCATTCTAGCTTTCTGTAAGACCAGTGGCAAATAATTTGTAAAAATAGAGAAGATTAACGGCCCAAGGTAACTGCCCTGAGGGACACCGCACTGTACATATCTGATGTTATAGTAGCTTCCATTGAAGAACACTCTCTGGGTTCTATTGGATAAATAACTTTCCAACCATGTGATGGCAGGTGATGTAAATCAATAGCAAGTCAGTTTCTTCAATAACAATTTATGATCAATAACATCAAAGGCTGCACTGAAATCTAACAATACAGCTCCAACTATCATCTTATTATCAATTTATTTTAACCAATCATCTGTCATCTGAGTCAGTGTAGTACAAGTTGAGTGCCATTCTCTATATACATGCTAAAAGTCAGTAGTTAACTTGTTCTCTGAAAAATAGCATTGTATTTGGTCAGAGATAGGCATAATATGGAGAAAGGTCTCATGTGGAGATGCTGGTGCATAGCTGCGGGAGGTAGGGGTGCTGAGGGTGCAGCACCCCCTGAAAAATCGGAATAAGTAGACCTGTATTAGCGGACCGATAATACCCCCCCCCACCCCCCCCCCCCCCTGGATTTTCCCGCTAGATAGTCTGTTTTCCCAGTCATTTGTAATAATGATTCACAGATAGTGCTGATGTCATCTCGCGTGGACTTACAGTTTGTTTTCATCTTGCTGCAAGTCTCTTTCAGGGCATCCACCTCTCCCTGGGAGAACTGCAAACTGTTCTTAAGGTCTTGAGACTCTCTGGTCAGATCGTCCATTATTTTGTGGAGTCCACCAGTTTTTGGACAAATCTCTTGAAGCTATTTTCCTGTTGCTGTAACAATTACTTGTAG